TACATGAAATTACCTAAGGGTCTTTTGTGTTGTTTCATTGTAGATGCTATTAACATTCTAACGGAGATGAAAGAGAAGGATGTTCCTATCTCAGACAGAACAGTTGCATCTTTTTTCCGCATTCTTAATGCCGCTGCCATGCGAGGTGAAGTTGAAACAGTGAATCGATTACATGAGACCATTGTGAACCTGGGGTTGGCAGAAACTGCTGTCCTTCATTCCACTCTGATTACAGTTCACCTTGAAAAGTAAGCTATGTTTGGGCTTCAGATGAAACAAGTTATGATATGATATTTATTTGTGTTATATGACCTGTGTATGCTATACACAGATGCACATGCACGTTTGAAAGTGCTCATGCGTGTAAACATGCACACATGCACGCACTATAAGTGATCTAGGAATAGTAATGAAGGAATATGTTTTCTTAAGTTAGGTAAGTCTGTTTTTATCAGGTACACATCACATCATGGTCTCTGGGAACAACAGCTGTGTTTTATGGACACATCAGAGATGAAGTGGCTGTACATTGGAATACGCTTATGAATTAGTTGGTTCTAAAGTCTGTTTGACAAGATAGCTATTCAGAGCATGATAGGTATATTCTCAACTCTTGTGGTTAAGCAGTATGTGTTTTCCCATCAAAACAGCATTATTTTGCTGCGCCATCCAGTACATCTCAGGTGAGTTGAGGGGCAGTTGTTGAACACTGAAATATTTTTAATTCACGTAATTCAAATAATTTGATGTTATTGCCAGTAGACTGCTATGTTGCTGTAAATTAAAATTCAAAGAAAAAACTGTCTGGTTTTTCTATTGTGATTTTTTTTTTTCCCCCCCATATATACTTTTAATACCACTTAATAGAGAAAAGGAAGTTCATACATTGATTCTGGCAGGAAGTGTCTGTAATTCCATTTGCCACGTTCCTTTGCATAAATTTGCATTATGAAGTGTAGGATATTTGAGTTAATGTACATATGAACTATGTAACAATTTCTTACTAAAATTGAGCCAAGAGTCCCTTTTCACTTCCTTTACCATATGCACAATCCTTTTATTTTTTTCTTATGTCATTTATGTAGTTACTGGATTTTAATCTCTTGCAGCTAGAGTGATTGGTCAATTTCTTGTCATTTGGTTCATGTATATGAAATGTTCTTGGCTTAAATATAATACCTATAAAATAAGTGAATTTTTCATAGTATCGTGTAAGTCAGCCTCAAAGATGCATATTAACATTTCTGTTCATATAAAATTTTTTAGTTCTTGTAAGTATTCTGGGTATGCAAGGTCTGTATAATGTTTTCTGTATTCGAAATTCTTGTCAAAAAGATTTAACTCTTGGCAGGTGCATGTACATTCTCTTCTAAAAATAGTATTTTAGTGTAGTGGTCAACAGTTAAGGATATAGTGTACATCTTTACAGTCAGCAACAGTGCCTTGATTACATCACAAGACAAGGCAGATGTTTATGGAGGTAATGTAACTGCAATCATTTGTAACGACTGCGTCAAAAATATCTGGTATGCTTTGCAGTGTGCAGTAAAAGCAGCTGCATTTTACATAATTGCTTTATGCACGTTGACATGCAAGTTGTACATGGTGCTACTTGGGTTCTTTTCACTTGAAAAGTAGTATATGATGATGTTAATAAAGATGTGATCGTGTGTGGATGCAAAGGGGGACAGTGAAGAGTTACATTTAGTAAAACTTTCTAGAAAGTTTTTTTTTTTAATAAAGGGACTTTTGATGAGACTAGATTTTTTTTTAAAGGAGAAAGTAATTCCATACTGTAGAACTGTATGGCTACAAGTCATTGGTACTCACCTGTATAACTCTTACTACATTTCATATATATAAATACAATAGAAAGTAAGCTCATTTCCTGTGGGGTTTTTTTGCTGCCTTATGGGTGCAGAGACTTGCTTCCTCTCCAATGTTAGACAGAACAGAAGGGGGAAGCTTTTTCCTTGGGAGGAATAACTGAATTTCAGTGATCTCTTTTTTTTTTCTTTTTTTTTTTTTTTTTTTTTTTTTTTTGTCTTGGAGATGCTAAGAGTTTTCTAAAGTTATGAGTGACTGAAATAAGTGTTAGTCATTTCTTTCAGCAGTAGTGCTTACTATTTGCCATCCTACAGCTCAAGTATCATGCTGAAATGCTGTCATTTAGCTGCAGGTCGTCAGCATGCCTCTGAAATTAGCTCTGGGATATCTTTTAATGTTCCACAGCAGTGGTTGTGCTAGTGTTTTGTGTTCTTAATTTATTTCAGTATTTTTAATTGCTTGTAAAGGAATCTCTGATTTGCTTTTGAAGATTTCAACAATTGTAGGTGTAAAATGTTTTCATCTACCTCTTTTCTCTGTACCCAGTCCTGAATATTCTGAAATTCTTGTTAAGTCCTAGTGCATGTTAAAAGGGACAATTGGCAGCAGAGCGTGGAAAAGAAAGAAATTGTTGATGAACAGTGTAACTTGACAAAAGCTAAAAAAATCTAATATTCTAGAAGAAAGGACATTTTGCCTTTAATATTTTGAGAAATATTTAACTGAAGTAACTAGAGAGAGAACTCATACTATCTTGGGGTTTTTTTTACCCTGAGTAAATTTAAGGGGAACCACCCCCCTGCTTTTAATTGCATGACTTTTATTTATGACTGAACAGTTTCTCAATATGGTGAAATCACATTAAAAATTGAGGCAGTCCACATGTGGAATCTTTGTCTGTCATTCAAGGTGATAAATCTGCCTTGGACAGTATGACAAAAATCTTAGTTCTGAAAGCTGCAAGAATGTGAAGAGCTTGTACTTTTTCTTAAAACATGTCTTACTTTTGAACTGGTTCTTCCAACTGATAATAATTGGAAAAGGTTGTGTTACCTACACCATACACAATTTCATACGATTTTAAGGATTGTAGTTTTGGCTTTTAGCTTCTTTACCAGCTGTCGGGGAAACCTATTTGAACATGAGCCATTTTACAAAACTGAAGAGGTTTGTGAAGCTAACCTGCTCCTGTGCTATTATCAATAGTATTTGATAATACTATTTACAGGATGATAAATTAACGGATACAGTAACTACTGATGATTTTTTTTTTCTTCTTCCAAGAAAGCTGCATAAGGAATACACATCTTAAAAACTTGATGTGGTTCCTGGCTTTCATTAACATAAGTTTGTTTCTGCTCTCCTTGAATAATATCACCTCTGAGAAAAGAAACAAAACAAAAAATCTTCAGGTATGAAATTTACTAATTCCCTATATCAAAAGTGCTCTTAAGCAGAGGGAAGAAAAGTTGCAGGTAAACTATGCAAACATTATGTTACAGGCTGTATGAACAAAATATTTTGTAGTTTTAAGTCAGTGAAAGCAAGCAGTTAATATTTGTATTTTAAACAATCAAAAGGCTATAGCTGGATTGTGTTTCTTTAAAAATGGTCAGTGTATTTTAATACAGCGTTGCCCAGTAAAGCATTGTGTGCTGATTTGTGATTAATCTTATATAAACCCATTTTGTTTAGTTTCTTATGTAGCAGAGACAGCATGAATCCAGTGCCTTGACAATTTTTCTTCTGTTGTTTTCATAGAGCTAAATTCACCTGTAATTTTGTTTGAGATGATTCTGTAGCACATGGAAGTTAATTGACTTTTTAAATGTACTTTTAAAAATAGGCATCTTTTTAAATTAGGTGATATTTTTAGTTGGGGAAAAAATATCTCTAGTGGGGAGAATTTTTTCTAATTTTTGCGGCTTTATTTCAAATATTTTTATTAAAACTCTTTACGTGTTGCAGTGAAATTAGGGATGTTTGGCTCTCTTACTCCATTATTGCAATTAGGACTTTAGCATCATCAGTGCCAAAGGACAAAAGTGTCTCATTTGCCCTATGGGGACAGGACAGTGATAAGATGATTTTTCGTCAAGGATCATTGGGTCGTAATTAAGTTACATTCATGGCTATTGCTTTTTGAAGGATGATTGGTAAATGACAGGCTTCATGTGCTTGGTACGGACAGTGTTCACTAGGGTTTTTTCTTCCTCTGTCAGAAAATCCTGTTGAGTCTGATAATGTAAATGTGGCATTTTATTCTGAACAAAAGAGCAGGGAAATGAGCTATCTTGTCTAATCATTCAGTTGTTTAACACCGACTTCCAGTTTAGACTCAATTGGCTGGAAAGCACTTGACATGTGAAGTTAGTGCTGTTCGGAACGCATGTTTGAGTAAATTTTAAAGTAAGTGACAGCTAAATTGTACCTAGGGAAATTACAAAGCCTTCAACACAGTTAATTTTTTGGGGAGGATTAGTTGTAATTGCAACACCAGTCTCCTTGAAGATTCCTTAGTATAGCTAATGAACAGAAAAACATTTAGCTCTTTCAAGAGCCCGTTTTCTTTTAACAGAATAATTTTTGTAAAGCTGATTGTACCTTGCTGAATTGTCTTCCCTCTACACTAACATCTGCTTCAGATTTGTAGAGAGGGATTTGTTTTACCAGTCTACCCTCCACCCCCACCCCAGAGAGTCCCATTTTTCTTTCTACCTCTCTAGTGATTTCAGGTTTGAGAGCTTTTCAATCAGTAAACCCCTTAGGTAAATTGCCACTTCACTAAAGCTTTATGCATAATGTTGCAGCACTTCATTCCAATTAAAATCAATATTTGGAGTCTTATTTTTATCAGGCATACTCTCTGGTTGGGAAAGTTGTTTATTACAAGTAAAAGGGTTAGATTTAGTGCTGCAGTCTTGAAGCAAGAGGGGAGTGGCTTGTTGAAATTGAAGGGGGATGTTATATCCATGCATGTTATAGCCAGTTCTGCTACAGAGTGTGTTCTGCAAACACTCAGACATCTGAGTAAGTTTGTCTCTTCAACTAGCTTTGCGTGAGTAGAATTGCACACGCAAATATTTTGGAAGATTGTGCCCGTAGTATCTTGGACTTCATAGGCATTCTGAACAGAAACCAAATGAATCCAAAACATGGTATCTTAACCCTGGCATCAATTTAGTTGAAAAATAATGGCAAAGTAGGACTCTTCCAGGATTACATAAGGGCCAAGCATAATACAGTGATGACTGAGGCTCCTTCTGTCATTCAAAAATAATAGTGTATCTTCTTTTTTAAAAGAACGAGTTTCAATGAGAGGGAAAAATACACCTAATCTTTAAGTGGAATAGGTATTAGCCCTGAACAGGTGATATTTGTGAGTGACTTAAAGCTGTAGTATCTGGCCAATTCAAAATAAAGCATGGATCATCTGTGTTCATATTTTAAATACTATTTTGTCCAGACTGACACTGGAAATCAGATTTTTCCAACATTGCTATGAGTATACGGGCTTTATTTCTTTTTTGACTTGATCCATATTAATTAAACAGTAATTTTGGACCAGGCTTTTAATATAGTAGAGTAGTAAGTATTCTTTGGGAAGATAAAAGCATTTTCAAAGTGCATAAGTTCATACAGAAAGACTGTCAAATATTTTTAAATGTATAGCTGCTTATTAGCTTAAAATCGTTATGTTTAAATTTTCTTAAAATGTGGAAAATCTTTTTTGTGCAGTTCTTTTTTTAAGTTAGTGAGTCGTAACAGGAAACACATAAAAATGTTACCTATACTCAAAATTTGAAGCCTACAGTAAGTTCCTAATTTTTACAGGGCTTTTCTAACAGGATTGTAAAAACTGCTTACAAAAGTAGTTGCTGGTACTTACTTGGAATTAACTGCAGTTTGTGATAGTTAAGAAATACTGCAGGTTGTTGAATAAATCATATTAACTCAAATACAACCGTAACCTTGTTGTTTTTTTCTTTGCGGTAGTAGTACAAACACTTTCTTTGTAGAGGCTGAACTTTTATACCTTTTATTGTTTTATAGCTGGTTGTTGCCAGTTTTATCATTTATCTGTTTTATAAATGCCATTCTCTAGTAAACTGTGGATGACTGGTTGGTTGCTTGAATGCAACAGAACAAATATATCAGATTTGGATAGATTTAAAAGAAATGTCTAGTAAATTAGTGTGTAAGATACTGACCTCCTTAAATGCAGACTTATTCAGGCGCCTTTGAGCAGTAAGTACCGGTAACAAGTACAGTATTTCCATTTTTGTTATCTCGGTTCTTTGCTGACTTTTTTCTCTGTGTATACAGTATTAATGCCTTCAGAAGTATACAGTTAGAGACTAGAAAACTCTTAATGTTCCTGTTTGAATGACATTCCAATTATTCATTCACTTATTGATAGCTTTGACCTAAAAACAGTCACTTTAATCCTTTAGGAATATAACCGAGACAGTACTATGGCTGTTTGAGCATCAATCTGAAAAGCTACATTTATCACTGAAAACTTTAATTTGAATGTATAAATGTTGTTGTGCCTCCTTAGAAATTGAGTAGTTTTCTGTAAAACTGTTTTTTTTAGATGTTAACTGAACTTGCATCTAAAGCAGGAGAAAAATACTGATTATATAAAGCTTTATATCTGTCTATGGTAACTACCATAGTATTTCTCTTTTATGACAGTAATCTAGCCTGCAACATCTACTTGCAGTTTTGAAATTAACCTGTAATTTAGTCTTCACCCCAAATGACAAAAATTCAAATGACTCCATGGGGTGCCAGAAGATGCACTGTAAACAGGGCTCAGTAAGGGGGATAAGGTAGAAATCCATCATCTTAGGTTCATTTTCAGAATGCCAGTATTACTGAACAAAATCAATTCTTCTGTGTTTTAGTCTTAAAATTTTTAAAATATTAACGTAGATGAAGATAGTAGCATATAGTAGCCTAGATAGTTCATTCTTTGAAAAACTAAAATTAGTGCTGCACAAGAAATGCAGTGTGAGGAGCGGAAATCTGAATTTGGCTTGTTTTAACAGTAATATCTTAATTTGTTAAGGTTCAGTTGATCAATAATAAAGTTGTTTCAGGAATGTAAAATCATTAGTTCAAGTCAGTTTTATTATGGTCTTCAGCTGCTGCTGTTAAGTGATTTTATTTATTTATTGATCCCTTTGCTTACTTCCACCACCCTCTATTTGATAAGCCTTTTGGAATCTAAAATGCAGTCTTATTGACTGTTTGGCTACTTACTACATTTTATGCGTGTCATCTTGGTTTGTTTCAATTTCAGTTTAAACCTTCCCCTTCAAAGAATACCTTCACATATTGTTTTAACAGTGTTTCAGTGGTTGTCCTCTGTTTTGGTTTGGTTTTTTAGATTGGGTTGTAATCCTTTGAAAAAGGGTCTGCAGCAGATGAATTAGTTCTGTTAGTTGCAGTGTAGAATGTTCATTTATATTTGTTGTTATTTTAAGTGCCAGATCTGATTGTTTTTATGGCTTTTCAGTTTTGCCTTTTAACTATGTATACTTTGGAAGAAGTATATGTGGGGAAAAAAGTCAGCAAAGAACTGAGATAACAAAAATGGAAATACTGTACTTGTTACTGGTACTTACTGCTCAAAGGCACCTGAGTAAGTGTATTTAAGGAAGTCAGCCAGTGCCATGGCTTTATGTGACATGGATACGCCAGCATAAAATACATTTTGGTATCTTAATATATTGTTGAATTAATTGCAAAAATTACATTTTTATTGCAGAAAATATACATTGGATTCTGACCTTTATATAGAATGGAAAAATGCTAGCCCTTCAACTGTAACAAAATGGAAATCAACAGATGATTTATAGCTAGTCTGTTAAGGTATAAAACAAGTATGAAGCAATCTAAAGAGCTGTGGTTGACTTAGTTAATTCTGGAGATCTATACTGAAATAAAAATGCTGTGGAAAAATTTTAAAGAGCTTAAAAATTGAAAATGTCTGAACAGAGACATTTGGAGGTAATATAATGTGCACAATATTACTTATCAACAAGAAAAATAGACCTCAAATACAAATTGAAATTTCCATGGAATTGGGGTTTTGTCACAATAGTACATAGCAGAACTTAAGAATTTTACTTCAAAAATTCAGTGCATCTAATGATGAAGCGCATTCACACCTCTGGTTAATTTGTAGTGAACAGTGGTCATGCAATCAAAAATTGTACAGCCAAGAGGTTTAAGCATAAATCTGTAGTTCTGTTTTCATTTATGTGGCTGTCAAGCATACATGGTATTTGTTTGTAGCAAAAATTTACCTGTTATTTAAAAATAACTGTAGCATATTGGGGGTGGGGAAAAATACACTCTTGGATTATAGACTGCTGAATGAATTTTTCTTGAAATTTTCAAGACTAAAGTGGGTTCAGCATGCACTGCTCCTGCTGGGAATGTTTGGTTGTTTTTATTCTTGTTTTGTTTCATTCCACAAGGGATGACATGCCTGCAGCTCTGGAAGCTTTAATCAACTGTTATAAGAAGTATGGTAAAATTCTTCAGCTTCATAAGATCTACTGTAGACTGATAGAAAAAGGAGACGCTGATCTACTGCAAAAGGGTTAGTTGCATGTAGTCAAATGCTGTCTATTATGGAGTGCTTATATGGAGTGTTTTCTGGAGGCTTTTCTTCCATGATTTGTATGTAATTTCTTTCAACTGAAAGAAGAAAATTGTTTGTCTTTATATATGTAACTTTAAAGCACTTAAGTGATGCCTGTGTTCTTCAGATTGAAAATTTATATTAATTTTAAATGTAGAAGAATCCTAATGTTTGGATAATACAGCATCAAACTCCCAAAGGTTAGTGCTAATACTTAATAGTAACACAATACAATAGTAAAACAACACGTTTTTCAAATAGTTGTGCAGTTAAGAAATCCTATATCCTCACTCTCTACAAGAGAATGCCAATATATAGTCTATTTTGTTGAATGTGATTCAAAATATAGTGCAGATAAACAGAAAAACATTTTAAATATGCTCAACCGCAAATCTACAACAAATTGTGTAATACGTTGTAATCATTTTTAAAAATTTATTTCCCTATAGCTTATTCTTGGAGTTTTGTGATGCTTGGAAAAATATTAGTATTAAGAATATCTGATGTATATATTAAAATGTTTCAATATATTTAGTAAATTAATGAGTTTTTTTCTCTCTCTAGTTTCAGATTTTATAAGCAGAGAATATGGTGACATGATGGCTCTTTATGATCTCTTCTTTGCCTTCTTGCAAACAGGAAAATACAAAGAGGCCAGGAAGGTCATTGAGGTGGGATTTTAACTATAATACTCTAATCGTGCAGCTATTTAGACTCTTAATTAGAAACATTTAAAGTTTTTAACCTTTAATTAGACTTGTTCTGATTCATGTTAATAGAATTCAATCCCAATAATAAAAAAAAAACTCGACCAGCTTTATTTTGTATAATTACAGTTCAGAAGAGAGACAGTTTTGTTGTATATTGAAATTGTTTCCTCACTTTTTCAAATTTGCTGTTATATATCAAAATGATATTTGCATATTAAATATCGGATTGTGGAACAATTAATCTGGGTGTAAAGTTGCTAATCCTCTTTCCGAAGGAATTCTTTGTTCCTAAAAGCACTGGAATTTAATTTGCTGCAGACCATGCTCAGATTTATTTGTAATGCTTGTCTACAAGTTAATCAGCCAAACAAGTGCTGTCTGCTACTGTTTGGCATTTAATTTAGCATTTCTTTTCTCTCTCTCTTTTTCAGGATAGTAAGCAGCTTATAGGAAGTGGTAGGTGACAAACTTGGTCTATTTAGGATTAGTATATTTTATCTAGACTTGATTGAAATTGTGCTTAGTGAAATTGATAAGTCAAAGGGGCAGCTGCAGAGTCTGCCCAGATTGTGATTATTTTTCTTCTTAACACAGTTGTATGTTTTTAAAATGCTGCATAAGTTTTCGGGTTAATGTGTGGGAGGAGGCATCTTGCAGAAAAAGTAATACTTTGTCCTCATCATTTTTGTGTTATGTACATACACAGCTCTGTAACCTAATTTGTTGGGTTTTTTCCTTCCGAAGACAAAGTATGCTTTTTTCCTAATTCCCCCTAGAATATTTGAGATACCAGTTATCCCTATTTGAATTATCTAATAGAATTCTTGCATTTAAAAAATCTTAACTGAAGATCTGCTTGTTTGTCCGTGGTGGAACAATACTGTCCTGCTGTGGGGTGTGTGGAAATTGCTAAGCACAATGTTGAAGCATTGATATTTTTGTTCTGAGAGGGTTTTTTGGAGCTCATAGTCTTATAATACAGAAGAATAGAAATATCAGTATCTGGCAGAAGACGATACTGAGGAGTTAAGTTCTTTTTACAGAGATTAAAGCATATAGGAGATATAAGGATGAAATCTGAGAATTGGAAGTAAAATTAAAGCTAAATGAATAAAACTGATACTTGGTGTGATTTAGCAGCTGTTTCTTTGATACTGGCATTTAATTTCTCAAAACTTACATTGGTGGCTACAGTTCAGCAGTCATGAATAGGGCGGTAAGCAAATTATCAAATTGTTGGGGCTTTGAAACTTTTGTCATTTTCTTAATAGGTGCCAAATTATCTCTATAAATATTCAGTATTTGGTCATTGATCATAAATTTCTAGTAACCACAAACAGACACTTGGGCGTAAATTTGAACACATGATATCTGGAGACTAAATGGAAGTTTTCCTGGCTTTTTATGCTATTTAGAGTAGGTTTTCTTGCTCTTGCCTAACTGCCATGAAATATTAATTAGAGCTTTGTATATGCTGTTGAGAAAAAGAGATTTTTAAATTCCAGAATTTTTAGGAGTATAGGAATTTACCTAGTAGTAGTATGCATGTATTTTACCAGTGGATAAAGTGACACAAAATCAATTACTATATGGTGAGTTGTATTTTAAGTATGCTTTTATTATGTAACAATATGTTAAGTATTTTCACATAAATTTTTGCCACCAGAGGGGGAAAAAAACCAATCTTAAAATTGGTATTTTGCCAAAGAAGAAAATAGCTTTTATTGTTTTAAAACAAGTTACTGTTTGCTTTTTTGTTTGTTGGGAAGTCAAAGCCTCCATGAATATAATGTGGAAGATGGAGTACAAGGTCTATGTGTATCCTTTCTAGTCCAGTGGTTTTTGCTACTAAATTACTTCTCTTGTTGGTCATCTCAGATTGTTTTTCTGTTTTCCTTTCTTGTAAAATAATATTCAGTAAAGGTGATCAATTAGTGCTGCTTTCTCTTTTTTGACACTGCGTATTAGACATGGATTACCTTTCAGCACGTACTTGAATAATGTATTGCTGATTATGGTGGTCAATTGATTTTAGTGGTATCATTTATTTTAAAAGTATCTACGGAGTTAATAAAGAGTTTCTAAAAGAGTAGTAATGAATCTGGAAAAAAATTTCTTTAGGAGCTAAGGAAATGAAGACCATGGAGGATGTGGTCGTTTGAATGGGGTGTTACTCATTGGAGACCACTGCCTCTGCTTGCTCTTGCTATTTTTAGAAATCAGACGTACACTAGATGCTTATGTGAAACTTAGTGACAACTACTGCTTTGAAAAACTTGCAACTCAAAGCCCCAGGAATAAGAAAATAACTTTTAAATATCAATCTTTGGTAAAATACAACTGGGTGACAATAGTGGGAAAGGAAGAAGGGTAAGATTTGTGTGAGATTATAAACATTAGGTCAGAGTTGTGTAGTACATTATCCAGTCACAAATGTGTTGGGCATGCATATATATATAAGCTCATGTTGTGGCATATTGTCATAGCAAGAAAGCTGAAAGCTCTGGGGCTCATCTGCTTGCTGGAAGGACAGCAAGACTAAGTAGAGAACAATAGTGTAAAAGACAACAAAAGGAGATTAGGAAGGAGATGAGGCAAAGAGTGCACCTGAATGATACCAGAACAAGTAAACTGAAGCATGTGGTACTTTGGTGGTGTGAGTCTCTTTTGAAGTGATGCTAAGTGGAAGAGAAGCTGTGATTGAGAAGACTGTGGGGAAAATGCAGCTAAGTTCGAAAGCTTCACAGAGTTTGGTTGATAGGTTAACAGTTTCCAATGTTGCTGGATTGCCTTGTTAAGCTTCTGAAAGTCTATTCTCATTTGTTCTGTGGCAGGTGTAGCTAGAGAAGTAAGCCTCTCTGAGGCAATACCTCCAAATGAGGTAACCCTTGGCTGCTCTGTGAAGTAAAACCCTATTTTATTCTAGCTGTGCCTGGAGATTCCTGAGCCCTTGAAGTTTTGCTGGTAGATGAATGTGCTGATAGATGCTCTTTCGCTTTCCACTGGGAACAAGTTCTACTATTGGGTGCTGTAGTACTTTGAAGCATGATTTAGTCTTCAATTCTTAATTGCACCTCAACTGATGAGTTAGCTTTTGTCTTGAGTCCTTCAAAGGTGATCATGTCAAAACAAAGTTGGCACATCTCTCTTCTTGCCCCTTACCATAAGGTCACATACACATACTAGCTTGCTTTTCCCTTGGAGTGGCACAGCATGACTTCTGTGTCATCAAATCTAGCTCCAGTTACTGAAGTTTTTTTACCTTACTTGGAAAGGCAGTTTAATTGGTTTTTTTCCTTCAATTTTGTTTTTCATAAAAAAGAAAGAAAGAAAGTAAAGTCAATACATTTTGACTTTAACTAAATTAAACTATGTTAAAACTAATGTAGGCTAAGAGAAAGGGATATGAATTTTCAATAAATAGGATTAAGGAAAAAGTACCTTCTAGAAAGGTACTGTCTTCTAAAATGTTGTCTTATTTTGATGATATCTAATCAAATATTCTCCTGGAGAGAGATCTTACGTAATTCTTCAAGTGTGTTGCTCCAGAGGTCCAGATAGCAGATCAGAGAATCTGGAAGAGTTGCTTGGCCTAGTATTCTTTCAAGTCTGGTATATAAATGGTAAGAGAATTTTCTAGAGCCTAGTCCCCCAAATCCCTCCTATCTACAGCTTCTTACCTGTTGCCATAACTGGACAATTGCAATTCCCTTATGTTTACTTAGTTGTTGACTGCCACTTTATTAACCGGATCGAGCTGATGGTTGAGAGCAGGACTGATGTGAAGGTCATCCGGGAGAGTGGGAATGAAAAAGGGAATGTTACACCACCTTGGAGGAATCTACTTCCTCCCCCCCGTCACCTGTTACTTTGTTGTGTTTTTTTTTTGCATGCTGTATGGAGGTTTAAAGATTTCAGTACCTGAAGTAGTTAGAATATACTTGTTGTCTGTCATTTTGATCCAATTTTAATTATTTGGTCATAACTGAATTTTGCACTGAGATCTCATACTTGCAGCTGTTTTACCTGCATGATGGTTGAATATTTCTAGACTCACCCTTTTTCCTTCATTTATTATTCAAGCTGAATGCAATTATCAAAATAGTCTGTGAATCTGTGTGTAATTAAGCCCATGTCCATGCTTGGCTCTTTCTGGTAGAGTCACAAGACCTATATATTATTAAGTACTGTAACAGTCCTACAGCAGAGGTTCAAGAAAGCCCTTCCCTAAATCTCCTTAGCAAAAGTCTAAATGATGTTTTCATGAACTAGAAATGAACACTTACACCTATGGCTAAAGTATGCAAGGTTTTAAACTGGTGTTAAATCCATTTCTGCACTGTATTGATAAAATCCTTACACCTTAAACTATATTTCATTGGACAGCAAAATACTTCTGTAAAAAAACCAAAACAAGCACCACATTAAAAAAGGGTATCAGGTCACTGGCATTTTTAGTTAGGAGCTTATGGATGCCTCTTATAGGAACTAGGATTTAGTAGAGATGTTCGACCGTTTTTTGTTGTTTGACAGATACTTCTTGAAATCTTTCTAGATCAAATAATATCAGTTATTAAATTAAAATGATTCCTTCAATGAAAGAGTAAAAGCTCTAGTTTCTGCTCTGTTTGTAGTTTTATTAGAAATGAAGGCTAAGGGAGGATTACTGTATTTGGGATATA